CTGTGTATTGCTGTTACCCGTTGCCCCGTGAACCGTTGTTGTGTTGCCCAGTGAACCGTTGTGTGTTGAGCACCGTTGCTTCGCTGTTCGACGTACCGTTACTGTGGTACAACGTGCAGCTTGGTGCTACACTCCAGTTTGCTAAGTGTTGTCTCCAAGGGTACAAGAGAGAGAGGGAGGGGCGGGGGTAAGAGAGATGTACTACCACTGTAGTGTAACGATGGCGTATATATTATGTAATATTCTATATTATGTAACATCGCAGACAATTCCTCCAGCTCTTCAGTACTAAGGGCTATATATAACAGGGTTTTTTCGTAACACGATTCCAGAATGCAGAAGATGATCAAAGTGATACCCTCAGATACAGATAATCTTAGTACTAACAAGCTTACACACACCTACAAGTCAATTCCCAATGTTTTGGGTATTGTAGCCGGTACTGTCTTGGGTGATGGCATTAGTTCAGCGTAACCACGTACTAGTGAACCATCACTAGTGCAGGGTCGTGACCTCGTAAGTGAGTGACCTCGTAAGTGATAGTGACCTCGTAAGTGATAGTGACCACGTACCACGATCATGGCGGCTTAGTCTGTATTTATTACACAGTTTACGAGCTCGGAAGCGTTGCGAGGTCGACCATAATAATAATAGCCTTCGGTTAAAGACAATTTCGATGCATTAAGGTACTTGTAAACTGCTTAAGAAGTGTAGACTAAGCCACCGGGACGGAAGTAAGGGGTACCTGCCAGCTCTCTACCTCAGAACACAGCTCTGTGGACCTGGACTGGGCCAATTGTCCCATACAATATTATTTGATAGAAATTAGAAGTAAAAATGCCGCATTTTTAATTCCAATTTCTATCAGATAATACTGTATGGAACAATTCGTCCAGTCATTAGATCATTGCATGTTGCACTAACGATGGGGAGAAGGTGTTCACGACCCCATAAGTAACACACACACAAGTATACAATACCATGTTTTTGTATACACAAACGCTCTTAAGCACCGTGAGGAGGAACAACAACAAGAGGACTTGAATATGTGTCAAGTATAATGAGTCACATATATATACCACATGTCCAGCAGGAGCTACGGCACAAACACGTGACACGGAACATAGAACGTCACGCAATATTGCGGCACGTAAATAATAATGTAAACACTAGGGGGGGGGGATATACATGTCAGGTTAAAAGAACCTGCATTTAAGATATAGATAAAGGCTCTCTTGGGTAACACGACCACGAATACTGTGCGTGTGAGTACTATGGTGAGTCATGCCCACACGGACAGTGTAAGTACCGTGTGGGTACTGTGACGAGGCCTACACGACCACACGGAGAGTGTGAGTACTATGTCTGTACTCTCTAGTTCTCTCTCTAGTTCTCTCTCTCTACTTCTCTCTCTCTAGTTCTCTCTCTAGTTCTCTCTCTCTAATTCTCTCATTCTCTAGTTCTCTCTCTCTCTCTCTCTCTCTCTCTCTCTCTCTCTCTCTCTCTCTCTCTCTCTCTCTCTCTCTCTCTCTCTCTCTCTCTCTCTCTCTCTCTCTCTCTCTCTCTCTCGCCTGGCAGGGTTGCCGTGCCTGGCGAAATGAACACGAATCACTTATCAATTTCTCAAATTTTATTGCTCTTGAAAACACTTAAAAAACTTTGTCATAAAACTTAGTCTAATTCCCAATAACAGAGACAAATGAGGAGATAAATGGTTAAGTGACACGCTCGCTAAGTCACAGACGCCAACATACTCACATACATACATGCACACTCACATACGTACACACACACTCACATGTATACACGCACTCATATGTATACACGCACTCACGTGTGTACTTATATGTAGGTGGGTAGGTGTTGAGCTATGTTATTGCAACACGCATGCACACATGCACGCATACACACGCATGCACACATGCCCGCATGCGCACATACCCGCATACACACACATGCCCGCATACACTCGCATGCACACATGCACGCATACACGCTAAACAAAAGCAAAGTGATTTACTTTACCGCCTTGCTTGACCTTTAGTGCATGTGATGGTGGCGATAATTCCTAAATTAGGCTGTCAACTTAACTAGTATTGGTGCGGGTGATTATAAGAGGTGGTCGTAAAAGTTGGTGTTCCAGTGGTAAGGTGGCAGAGTCCTGGGGCCAGATTTACCAAGCACTTACGCAAGCACTTACGAACGTGTTCATCTTTCCCTCAATCTTTGACGGCTTTGGTTACATTTATTAAACAGTTTACATGCATGAAAACGTCCCAATCAACGGTTGTTATTGTTATAAATAGCCTCCTGGTGCTTCGGAGCTCATTAACTGTTTAATAATTGTAAACAGAGTCGACAAAGATTGAGAAAAGATGGACAGGTTCGTAAGTGCTTGCGTAACTGCTTCGTGAATCTGGCTCCTGGTCCGTTTGAGAGCAAGCTGGCTGCTCCATGCCCCGTGTTGGACCTGGTCCTGCCCACACTCTCCACAAACGTAAGAGTTTGAGGTTTCATGGATATTCTTCCATGTTTTCTTACATTAAATGGTGAAGATTGCCAATGGGGTTTTATTGACATGTTCAACTCTCCGATTTTTAGCTTCAAAGGTAATGGTGAACTGTATTTTCTATTTATATTTCACTAATTATAAAAACATATGGACATATGCTCATATTATTATTAGTGATATTGTAGGAGGAAAAGAGAGAGAGAGAAGTCTAAGCCTTTCCTGGTGCCTTAGGGAAGGATTAAAATACCAGTTGAATACTAGTTAGGTGTCAATGATCCTTATGATATAATACAGATATATCATTATATATATATATATATATATATATATATATATATATATATATATATATATATATATATATATATATATATATATATATATATATATATATTGCTTCATTTTATACCTTAAAGATGACAGGTTACACGTTAGTCAGAACAATGCAAGGTTAAAGGTTGTAGCTCTCTTAAAGCTCCTGAGCTTCCAGACAGAAACCGAGGACACAGCCGGCGTCTCTCCTCAGCATCGCCACGGAGGCGCTGAAACGGGAAACTGGCAGCTCTTGAGTCTCTGGTAGTGTCACTGAGCCTAGAACCCAGTTCTCTGAGAAAGCTCGAGGAACTCCTACCTCAAGGACCAAGTATATAACATATATAAATATAAAATAATACCCAGGCTACATAAAATATATGTAGCGTGGGGTAGATATATGTAACCCCCTTCCCCCCCCCCCCCCCTCGTAGCCCATCAGCTGCAGGTACCGGTATGAATGGTGTTCACCCGGTCGGAACTACATGTGAACGGGTGGTGAACGGTGAACATATTGATTGTTGTCCCAGGCCGTGTTTCCTGGCCAGGTATTTAGTGTGGGTGGGTGGCGAGGCGGATCAATGATGCACACCTGGCAATAGTGAATGGAATGCAATGTTGTCTTTCTGAAGTCAAATTAACTGGAGGTTTTTGCAGTTTCCAGACTTGATTTTTGTGTGAAATTTATTAAAATGTGATTTTTTTAATGCCAATTTAAATTATATGAAAAATTACGAAGTTTACCAATATTGTCAATCTATCATTTATAATCTAATGCAAATATTTATTTCTGATTTCTTCAGTAAACAGTGTTAAGTTGCTATGCCAAGTTTCTGATCTTTTACATCATATTTGACCGTTAAAGTGTCAGGAAGAAGCATTCATTATAGTCTATGAATATTTTAACAATAATTTAAAGAAAGAAATTATTGGTATTTATTGCAAATAAACTATTAACTAGTTTTGTAATGGGTTTAGATTTTGTGAAAAGCACAAGTGTGCGCCATATATTGAAACACAACAACATCGTGTACCGCTTCACACGGAAATCACAATAGCATGATATATCAAATGAACAAATCCACAAGGGCGTTGATAGGGGGATCGAACCTGCGCGCGTATCGCTCTTGGGTCTCCAGCTCAAGACCAAACCAGTGTGCGTTGTTGTTGTTGTTTAAGATTCGCTATTTGGAACAAAAAGTTTCAAGCAGCACGGGCTATGGTGAGCCCGTAGTGACCAGTGTACGTTGAAAGTTTGCACACAGGCAGAAAAAGCCTGTCCTCACACTTCATGCATCACAATTTTGACGATCGCGTCACAGTTCCTGTGGTCTAGTCAAATTTAGAACGCCGTGTTAGTGACGCTTTTCGGACTAATGCTCATTGACTTTGGGATGGGACGGGGGGAAGGAATGGTCCCCTACCACTTGGACCGTCGGGGATTGAACGCCGACCTGCATGAAGCGAGACAGTCGCTCTATCGTCCAGCAAAAGTGGTTGGATCATAAGGAACAGTCGCCTTCATCCTCGTTTTCTTCAAGACCCGGGATGAGACATATTTTTCACCAGCACCTAAAGAAAATAAATTATGACCCTGAGTTTTCAGAAGAAAAAACAAGATAAAAGACAACAAATATACTATTATTTTAATCTGAAAATGATTACTTATCTTTATTATCATCATTATTATTATTTCTGTTATGGTTAGTTTTATACATTAATAAGTTTTCATCTTGTTGGCTCACCATCATACTCAATTACAAATTCTTTCATAAATTTTATCCTATATTAGTATTACTAAGTCTATTTCTAAGAGTTCGAGCTTCTTTGTTGGCTGTGATGTTTCTCAGTGACACTGACAGGCCAGCATGGTTGCATTTATTCGACATTCACTCTGGATGTTGGTATCATATTGTGCGAGAGAGAGAGAGAGAGAGAGAGAGAGAGAGAGAGAGAGAGAGAGAGAGAGAGAGAGAGAGAGAGAGAGGGAGGGAGGCAGGCCTTATGTACCATAACTTCTCATAATCATAAAGTTTCTCACTATCTCATAGATTTGAAATAAATGTATATTTATTTACATTTTGACCTATAGATGAGGATATGTTTATATATTATCACATTTATCAAGATCGTTTATAGGGTATGTGTAAAAAAAAACTATTTTCCACTATTTCAGGGAAAAAATCCAGCCTGGAAAGCAAAACTTTTTAAAAGTTGAAGCAATTTTACATAAGGTAAGTTGGTTCCATTCACTGTGTCCTTGGGTGCAGCAAATGTGTGTTTGAATCGTTAGTTGGTTTGTGGTGTGAGATGCGGAGGCTACTGCAGGCTGTGGCAGACGGAGCCGTATGTAATGGTAGTTACCTGTCAGTGTTCTCTATGACTCATAACAATTTGTACCTCCTGGATTTTGTAATATGATGTAACTATGGAAGTTATAAGTTACTGAAAGTTTAAGGGACGGTTACGTACCGCAGTTACTTACTGTTACTGGTGTGTGTGTGTGTGTGTGTGTGTGTGTGTGTGTGTACTCAACTAGTTGTGCTTACGGGGTTTGAGCTCTGGCTCTTTGGTCCCGCCTCTCAACTGTCAATCAACTGGTGTACAGATTCCCGAGCCTACTGGGCTGAGTAGGTGTGTGTGTGTGCGTGCGTGCGTGCGTGTGTGTGTGTGTGTGTGTGTGTGTGTGTGTGTGTGTGTGTGTGTGTGTGTGTGTGTGTGTGTGTGTGTGTGTGTGTGTGTGTGAGAGAGAGAGAATGGGGGTGGGTGTATGATAATTCACTCGTTAGCATTAAAGAATTAAAGAGCCCTGCCCCTCGCCAGAAAGCTCTGGGGACGCGTGAGGCCAGAGTTGCCCCACGCAGCGGGCGCGACACTAAGCCAGGTTCACCACAAACAACTAACACCTTACAATTCAGAGACGGAGGCACTGCACCACAAAATAGTAACGCCGACAGTTCACACACTTATTACTCTGGAAAACGTGACGCAGGAAACGTAATATTAAGCCAAGTTCAGCTTAAAACGCGAGGGAAAAGATCGCGGAGTAGGCGTCACCCGGGGCAGCTCCCGACCGTGGAGGGAAAAGTCCCCATCACCAGACTGGTGACGGAGGTAGAGAATACCTACTAAAATGTGAATGGCGGGCCCCGTGGAGTTGTGTGCGCCTGGCAGAGCTGCCATATTGTCTTGCTTATCATCAGTAACATTCTATAATATTCAGTATACTGGCGGATTTTTAATTGCTGCATATACAATTTATTTTATGTCTGTTTCGTTGACAGATGGGATATTTAAGAATTACTATCATTCAGACGAAGAGTCACAATAACGTGGCTGAAATATATGCTTTCATACTAGAAAGTTAAGCGACGACGACGTTTCGGTCCGTCCTGGACCATTCTAAAGTCGATTACAATTACTATCATTGTAAAACCTGGAGGTGAAAAGGTGGTGACAATATGTCGGGAGTGTGAGGGTGAGCTGCTGCTTCTGCCTGGTCGACACAATCAGGCACTGTGTCACGACCAAACAAGACATAATCACCCTGTCATGAAGGAGGTAATTGAAGAGGACATAACGTGGCAAGAGACCGTTATGGGAGGGCGGGAAAGAGGCAGCGTGTTCCCCCTGCACCTTCCCCCGTCCCCCCTCCTACCCCCCTCCCCTCCCCTTATCACACATAAGCACCATTCCTTCTCTTGCGAATTAGCAACTATTATGAGGGGATCGATCCCCCGCCCCCCCTCCTGCAGTAATTAGGGCAGTCCTTCCTGTCTGCCGCCCTCTGCTGGTGCATGCGGGCCGTGTGCTCCTGCTGGAGCTCCCCCTCACCCGCCACGTGCTGCTGACTCACCCACCTGGGTGTTACATCCACCTGCCAGGGAATGATTGTCTCATCCACCTACTGTGGGGGATTGCTGTGACTCATCCACCTGCTGGGAGATCATTGTGACTTGCTGACTCACCCCTTACCCAGCTGTTAGTAACGTTCTGGGTTACTCATGTGGTGGATGATGCTAAAGACTCACTTTCTCTACTTCCTGGTCGGAAACGGTAGTGACTCACTGGTCTGCCCATCTCTAGGGGTTTCGTGGCGACTCATTTGACGCACCCAACTGGTGGACGATGGTGGTACTTGACTCACCCCTCCTGGTGTGGGTGATAGGTAAGCACCATCACATACCATCCACTATCAGTGACTACGAGGCCAAGAGGTCTATAGCGGTTTGTGCTGCTCCGCCTACTAGCCTTGCCGCAGGCTAGTATATCTCTTCTGTCCTGGTTTGTGAGGTTCGTTCCCCTCCATCTATCCTCGAAGTCTAACCCTCTTGAGTCCCTGGCACCTGTCTTGTTTTAAACCTCTGTACTTCTCAGTTTTGGTTTCATGCGTCACAGGGTATGGCTTCCAGGCCGGTGCTGCATATTTCAGTATTGGTCTAACTCAAGGCTGAGTAGATTGCCTTGAAAAAAAGTCCTGATTTTGGTTTCTAAATGATATTCTTATGTTTGGCAGCGTCTCATATTCTGCTGATGTTACCCTGTCTGTGGTGGAGACTCATTCACCCAACGTGCGGGGTACTGTGACTCACTAGCGCGCATAAGTAGGTCACTGGTGGCTGAGTGGAGAGTACGCTGAATACTTAGTCCTGTACCCGGGGTTCGATTCCCGGCGCCGGCTGAAACAGATGGGCAGAGTTTCTTTCATTCTGATGCCTCTGTTACCTAGCAGTAAATCGGTACCTGGGAGTTAGACAGCTATTACGGGCTGCTTCCTGGAAATGTGTGTGTGCGCGTGTGTTAAACATATATTTAGTAGATATAATATAGAAAAATAGAGTGGCTAGAAAGGCGGGGTCCAAGAGCTAATGGCTCGATTCTACAGACACAAAAAGTCAATACAAATAATAAATACACTGATAATATAGATGATATAGATGGTAACTAATGATTCAGATGAATCACAAAAGATGTCAGAAAGAAGTTGTGTGTTAAGTGAGTACATTTAGTAGAGTACAAGGACAATGCTATTACAGTTAGACTCTGGAGTCATAAAATCAGTTCCCTATTGTTATGACATCTGTAAATGAGGAACATCCAACTAGCAGGCGAAATTGGTGCCTGCAAGAAATTAAGGCTTGAAACTGTGTAATTTACGAGGATATTACAGTTAACAGTGTGAGGGGCGTGTCAAATATTTTTTGTTCAAGGTTGGGTTAGTGAATATTGCCAGGGTGTCGATACTAGGGTGTTGTTGAGGAGGGTGCCAGGGTGTCGACACTAGGGTGTTGTTGAGGAGGGTGCCAGGGTGTCGACACTAGGGTGTTGTTGAGGAGGGTGCCAGGGTGTCGACACTAGGGTGTTGTTGAGGAGGGTGCCAGGGTGTCGATACTAGGGTGTTGTTGAGGAGGGTGCCAGGGTGTCGATACTTGGGTGTTGTTGAGGAGGGTGCCAGGGTGTCGACAGTAGGGTGTTGTTGAGTAGGGTGCCAGGGTGTCGACAGTAGGGTGTTGTTGAGTAGGGTGCCAGGGTGTCGACAGTAGGGTGTTGTTGAGGAGGGTGCCAGGGTGTCGACAGTAGGGTGTTGTTGAGTAGGGTGCCAGGGTATCGACAGTAGGGTGTTGTTGAGTAGGGTGCCAGGGTGTCGACACTAGGGTGTTGTTGAGGAGGGTGCCAGGGTGTCGACACTAGGGTGTTGTTGAGGAGGGTGCCAGGGTGTCGACACTAGGGTGTTGTTGAGTAGGGTGCCAGGGTGTCGACAGTAGGGTGTTGTTGAGTAGGGTGCCAGGGTATCGACAGTAGGGTGTTGTTGAGGAGGGTGCCAGGGTGTCGACAGTAGGGTGTTGTTGAGTAGGGTGCCAGGGTATCGACAGTAGGGTGTTGTTGAGTAGGGTGCCAGGGCGTCGACACTAGGGTGTTGTTGAGGAGGAGGGTGCCAGGGTGTCGACACTAGGGTGTTGTTGAGGAGGAGGGTGCCAGGGTGTCGACACTAGGGTGTTGTTGAGGAGGAGGGTGCCAGGGTGTCGACACTAGGGTGTTGTTGAGGAGGAGGGTGCCAGGGTGTCGACACTAGTGTGTTGTTGAGGAGGAGGGTGCCAGGGTGTCGACACTAGGGTGTTGTTGAGTAGGGTGGCAGGGTGTCGACACTAGGGTGTTGTTGAGTAGGGTGCCAGGGTGTCGACATTAGGGTGTTGTTGAGGAGGGTGCCAGGGTGTCGACACGGGGGGGGGTGATGAGGGGGGGAGCCAGGATGAAGAGTGATGGAGGCCAGGGTGAGGATAGTAGGGTGGTGTCTGTAGGGTGACACCAGACTCGCCAGGTACCCTATACACCAACACCAAGTCAGAGCTCAGATTTTATAGCTTTCTGCGGTCCACCGCAGAAAGCTAATTTTCTAGACGCACGCACACACCTGTACACGCACGCACCCCCTGTATCTATACTCGCACGCACACGTGCACCTATACTCACACGTGTGCGTGCGTGCCTGGTGGCTGAGTGACAGCACTCAGGACTCGTAATCCAGGGTACCGGGGTTCGATCCCCGGCGGTAGCGGAGACAAATGGGCAGAGTTTCTTTCACCCTGATGTCCCTGTTACCTAGCAGTAAATAGGTACCTAGGAGTTAGACAGCTGTTACGGGCTGCTTCCTGTGTGTGTGTGTGTGTGTGTGTGTGTGTGTGTGTGTGTGTGTGTGTGTGTGTGTGTGTGTGTGTGTGTGTGTGTGTGTGTGTGTGTGAAAAAAGGATTGATTGACAGTTGAGAGTTCATGGTCGAACTCTATCAATTTTATTAAAAATATTGATATAAATATTTCCAATAAAGACTGTCTAGTTACAGTTTAAGACTATCCGTACCGTATTGACCACTACAGCTGTAACACAATGTTGACATGCAAATTGAGTTGCCTGAAAGCAGTTCCAGTCCAGTAATTACATTTACATACAAGTTATCACAATTACCTACATGTTTGTTTAATGTTAAAAGTTACTAGTGTCATGTATAAGTCCAAGATGTCCGTCTGCCACAGCTTGGAGTGAAAGATGAGCTGTGACAGTGACAGACATAGTGTATGAGCTCCTTGTCACTATTAAGAATAGTGTCGTGCAAGACACTGAAGGAGATTTACTTGAGACGTTGTCTCTATGTTGCCTGATATTCCCTGTACAGTTCTGGAAGAGTAATGGGCATGTGGGTCTCTGATGTTGAGTATGTTTGCTCAAGTTATTGGTGT